AATCTAACTAATTTTTCAGTGGCAAATAAAAAAAATAAAAAAATGGATATGTGTTAGTTATAATAAACAATATACTTTTATCTTCATGTTTCTTCCCTTAATTTATATTAGAACGAACTATATTTCAAATAAAAAGTACAAATACATAATCTACAATAGCTAAAAGCCTTAAGACCTTATGACACTTGCCTTATTTTTGATTGGATTCTGACTGGATATGTTTAGAATAAAAAGTCAGGGCACCCTAAATATGATTTATTATATAAATGTAAAATTTAAATGTTCAATATTAATAAACTGTAGACCATTTTTTTCTCTAGGTGCCCATGAATTTTTTTTAATAAATCCACCAACAAGACAAAAATTAAGATAGTGTCATAAGGCCTTAAGTAAAGTTCCAAACTTTTTTTACAATGGTATATCATTATAACAAATATCAATAAGATTTTAATAGAGTAAAATTCTTATAATATTATTTCTTAAATTTTTCTTAAATATATTTATTTAGTATTTGATTGTTTTATGATTTTTTTAAAAATATTTTTAGGTAGGATGTTTTATTTTTTTACAATTAAGGGGAGTTCTTATGATATTACTTATTAAATATATTTAATTAGATTTTTATTTCCTTTTAATTTTTTACAAATATTTGTGATGTATCTATTTCAAGTTGTTTTTATAAAAATGTTATACTTTATAATATTTATAATACTTATAAGGTAATGTTTTGGAAGGGTATTCCTTGGTTGCCCCAAAGTAAGCCATCCCTTTTGGTTTTTTGTTGGTGTTGCTGTTGTTGGCGTTGCGGCTGCTGCTGTTGCTGTTGCTGTTGCTGTTGTTGCTGTTGTTGTTGGCGCTCCTGTGGCCATTGTTGCACACCTGTGATTTAGCGAGGACGCCGCCGAGGACGAGGACGCTTTCGTGGCTTCTCGCCGCTGGCCGTCCTCGTGTGCCAGCTGATATTTACCTTATTCCCCACATCCCAGCTAACAGCTAAAATAACAGCAACAACAACGACAACAACAACAACGGCAGCCATGGCAAGAAAATGGAAAATTGAGAAAGGAAAAGCTGGAGAAACACTAGACATGGCAACAACAAGGAACGCACTTAGAAATGATAGCCCAGCTTTATGCTAATGTTTGCCATTGCTTTAAGTACTCACTCAGTTGGTGAGTTAGTCAGTTAGTCAGTCAGTGAGTCAATCAGCCAGTCAGTCATTCAGTCAGTCAGTCAGTCAGTCATTCAGTCAGTCAGTCAGTTGGGTCAGTCAGTTTTTGGCATGCAGATGACAATATTGTGGGGGTCGCCTTAACTCTCAAATAGAACAGGTTTAATCGGAAATGGCTGAGCCCACACATGTCCAGGTTTTTTGGAGTATCTGTGTGTTTTTTGTGTTCTTGTGTGCGTCGTGTGCATTTCATCAGTTCCACTTACTGGTTAATAAAGCAACAATATTGGCCTTAGACAGGAATCCAATTGCCAGGCAACATTTAACATCCAGTTTCTTCGTTCCTCTTCAAATAAATTAATCAAGTTTCGGGTTATTTAATTAAAACGTTCTCTAGAAATAGCTAGTAGAAAATTCAAAGTCACCGGTGTCCAAAAAAACATTCTATTTGTGTTTCATTTTGTCTCAAAAATCAAAATTATATTATTATAAACATTTTTTAAAGCTTTTGGAAATAATTGTATAATAAAAATAAAAGACAATAAGACCGTTTTCAGTGTAAGATATATCGATTATAGAAAACATCAAACTATATACTTCTTTCAGTAAAATAAAATTAAACTAACTAACTCAAACTAAATTATAAAACATATACTTAATCATGGCAATATTTACATATTTTAAAAAATGAAGTCATGTTATTATAATATCGATAATTATCGGTTATATTTCGATGTCTGAAAAGTGTAATCACCAGTATATTAAATAACTTAAGCTAACTTATACAATATAAATTTCATCACAGCAATATTTATATTTTATTAAAATATGTATTCCTGATATTATCCACTGAATTTCGATGTAAGCAAATTGTAATCACCAGAATATTATATAACTTAGGCTAGCTTATAAAGTATATATTTCATTATGGCAATATTTATAATATACATATACTATATTTATGTATAATAATACAATTTATTTGTACTTATAATTTGTATTATATAATTATATTTATTGAAAATATAATATATATATTTGATTTCTAACTAATCCAATTAAAAAATTGTTTCGATATCCAAACCCTCTTTTGATTATATTCGTTCTTGGCTTTAATTTATATTTTATAAAAAATGTAATCCTGACCTAACCTTTAAGTTAAATTTCGAAGCATAACGGTATTTGAATTCCAGTTGTACGCGTTTAATCCCCATACTATCTATTAGTATCTGCTCAATTGTTTATGAAGCCAATGAACTCGACACTCGAACACTCTATAAAAGGCGATAATAGTCGAGGCCCATGAAAATGAGTGTTATACGGTAATAAGGCAGCGTCAAGTATTCCGACGACAGCCACATAAGAAAATTGTGATCCCGCCGTAAACTCGGTCTCCGTGTTAATTACATGAACTCAAGCATGACACAATTTTCCTTAACCCCCCCTCCTCCAACGCACAGAATTTCCCATTTTCTAACCCCCTTTTTGGGGCCTCGTGACAGAAATCGACATCCATTGCCAGGCCCCAACATGCAAATCAAATTATTTTGGCATATAAAATGCTTATTAACAGATTATATGCTCACTCAATATTAACTGACTGACTGACTCGGCTGAATGGCAATGGGTGAAAGGGCCTTTCCCCCACTTTCACCACCCCCCCCCCCCCCCTGAAATTTGCGAAGTGTAGGCGGCGTTCCTCCTTTGTTTTTGGTCTTGGATTTTAATACCCTTTGATGGTATCGGAGGCACAATGAGTGCCAAGCACTTTGGCTCGCTTATTTATATTTATGGCCGATAACAGTCGGCAGTCGACAGTCGACAGTCGACACTTGGCCATCAGCAAACAGACAATGGTGAGCCATCCACGGATTTTAATATTTGTCAGTGTCTTTATCTGTATCTGAACGATAGCGGCAATAGGTTGTCACTGGTCTCGGGTTTCGATCAAATGTCTTCGATTCACCCCCAAGGCGATTAAATAATTTACTAAAAGTATTATAAATAATATATATATTTACATATAGGTCTATTTGTTTATGGTATCTCAATTAAGTCGTTGTGAGTGATGTTAGTAGCCCAAGAATATTAAATCAAATATTGGAAATCGGGCGATTAAATAATTTAGTGTAGGTATTATAAATATGTATATACTTCAAGGTTTTTTGATGTGTTGTTTTTCCGGGTAATTCGATTAGATTAGTGTGAATAATGTTTACTGCCCAAAAATATTCAATCAGATGTCTCAGGGGATTAAAAAAATTAGTAAAGGTATTCCAATATATATATTTTAGGGTATTTATATATGTATTTTATGGATTAATTTTTAGTTTTAAGGAACAACAACTAAGCCAAATCGGCTAATTTTAAATTTTTTAAAAATGGATAAACTTTACTTTCTGTGTCTATATTCCTTTTCTAAAAACGACAAGATTTATAAAGAATTTACATTGACCATTGAAAATAACTAAAGTCCCATCCCATGCATGTTTTGTCTTTCTTTCTATTGTTTTTCCCAGCATTTCTTTAACAAAGTTTGCTATTTTCCATTTATCTCAGTCTTTTTTTCTATTAAAAAATGCGTGTTTAGTGTCTGGAAAACTATTTCATCACATTTACCCAAGAACCCTCTATTCAGGTGTATTCTTCAAGTATTTTCTTTGAAATGTGCCCAAGAAAAGTAAGCTCCACTTGGGATTTAATAACTGTTGTTAAGCTAAAACATATTTTTTCACACATTTTGGGCAACTTTTCCCCATAAAATAAATTAGATTCTTATGACCAATTGCTATTTGGCACTTCTCTTTTATTATTTAAGATATTTGGCCAATGTCTAATTTAAATTTGATGGACGGCAGGTCATAATAATAATAATAATAATGATAATAATAAGCAGCTACCCCCCCTGCCCTTCTCCATCAGGCATTTCATTTGCAGACAGCCACGCAAAACAAACCTAATTACACTTTACTTTCACTTTCTCTGCCAGCAACAGGAGCCAGGAGAAAGTCGAGGTGAAAGTGGCGGAGAGAAAGTGGGAGGAGGGGCTGACTTTGGTGAGAAAAACTTCAAAAGCTTCTGGTCAAAGCAAAGTTTGTCCGCCTTGGCATATTTTGCGTAATATAAATTTTGCTGCCGGTTTATGTACAATATTCTTGGCCTTTGGCCAATTTGAAAAGCCAATAAAACCGTTTAAAGCGTTGTCACAGATTCTCCTCCAATTTTCCTCTTTTCTTTTTTTCCTTTTCCTTTTTTTTTAGCTCGCAAACAAACAATGGGAAAATAAAGAAAGGAATCTGAGAGGCAGCATTGACATTTATTGTTCATTTGACAACATAATGAACATTTTTATATGCAAATAATGCTACGCGTGTGTGCGAGTGAAAGTGTTATAAAGCGCTTTTCGAGCGCTTATTTGTATGTTTTTATTTAAATAATAAATGGGCAACCGCAACCCCCTTGTTTCGTTCGAGCCGCTCATAAGTAGGCAATGATTTTTGGTTCGCTGCTGGAAGGTAACCACCCCGGAATCACCCAGTAAGCACCCCACCCCTGAAAAAACGAAGGCCCGTAATGAGCGTGTCATTTAGCGTAATTTCACTTGATTGTTATGGCATTACAACAATGCCCCAAGTACAATACACACGCACAACAAAAGGCGCCGGAGAGTGTAGAAGTTTATCTTATCATCGCAGGCTCCGCTCTTGGAAAATTCACGGAAAACTCACGGAAAATTCGGTAGGTGAAATGCGGGGTGCATGTGCATAAATTATGAATGGCCGAAGCATTTTGTTGCTTTTTTCCGAAGCGGTTCTCTTAGAAAACTCACCTGTTGTATTGGAAAATTTTCTCAAGCTCTCCTGCAAATAAAAAAGAAAACGCATGTTATTTATATTTATTTATTGAAGAGTGATCTATATTTAAAAAAGGTTTTAAATGCTTTCCCCCATGCAAATTATTGTACATTTTGTCTTTTGAGCTGGTAAAAAACTAAGCAAGTAAGACTTTAAATGAATTTTTTAATAAGGAATATAAAAATTTTTCCCAGTAGGCATTTTAAAAATTGATTCAGTGAATATATTTTTTTTTCTTTTAATAATTAAATTGCACCAAATTATTTCTTGATGCTAACGAAAAATTGCAATATCAACGCATTTTCTTATTAAATTGCTTTAATTGACCTATTTAGTTCTAACAAAATGCATTTTTGATATGAGTATATTTTATACACACAAAGAGAGTAGGTAAAATTTAAATAAATGCAAAGATTGTAAGTAAATTCTAAAAAAGAACATGTATATTGTATCCATTTTACCACTTGAATGATAATTGTAAATACACTCAAAGAAAATAAATTCGTTTTTAATAAACCAAAAATATAATATGAATTCTATAAAAAAACAACTACTTTTTATGATAGTTAGTACTTAAAAATATATATTAAGTTAGGATATACATTTTAAAAAATATATTAATATTTAAGATAAATGAAAAAAATATAAATTTTAAAAACAGATAAACTAATAATTGAATTTGTGCCATTTTAATTATATATACCCGCTGAAGATGCTTCTTTTATATTTTTTCTTGTGTAGAGTTGACCGAATTTCTGGCCTAATTCACATTGAAATATATGAGGCCTCCATTATGATTGACTAATTTAGTTGAGTGTCTGTCTGCTGTTGCATCTCCGTGTCCATTTAGCCTCATGTTATATAAGTATGATATATGTTAGCCAGTTGTTTTGTTTGTTGATTTTTCCAATTCGTTAATTTGCCGCTGCTGTTTCGCATTGTCACCAAATTAATTGGCTGCTCCTGGAGCTGCTCGTGTCCTTCTTGCTGTTCGCTTAAGTGAATATTTCAGGCACACACACCCACACACACGAACAATGGCACACACACACTCTCGTGTTCACCGATAGGCGTACATGTGACCCGTATTAAGCCATCAATGGGATACAAGCAATTTCGTTTAATTAAAACATGCCAATACACACATTGCCGTCCGAATGATTATGGCGACGGGTACTTTTGGGTGATTTTGGCCATATCCAGAGCCAAAGAGCCAGCTGCCGGATCGAAGAGCACATATATACATAGAATAGACCGGACTAGCTGCAAAATGCACACACTCAAATTTTATGCACGAATTGCAGCAAATGAAGCGTTCTGACGCTTCCGAGGAAACGGAAACGGAAACAGGACCTCAAACATCAACTGAAACCGAATCAGAAACAGAAACAGACACAGAAACAGAATCAGCAACAGAATGAGAAGCAGAAGAGAAATCGACAATGACAGCCCCTCTCCATTTTCATTACGCTCAGTTCAAGGTTTCCCCCTAAACAGTTGGGTTTCTCTGGATTTTCCAAAGTTTATATATTTTACCTTTCCACAGTTTTAGTTACCTTTTTTTAGATCCTACCAATGTATATTTTTTTTGTTATTACAATCCTTTCTTTTCCAATTATTTCTATTTTCTTTGGTATTTTTCAGTATTTTACACTGCTTTATTAAATAATTTACACAGCTTTATAAAATATTTTACACTGCTTTATAAAATGTTTTACACTGCTTTATCGACGGTTTTCTAGATTTTGCCAATTTATGTAGTTAGTACACTTTTTAAGTTAAAAAATTATTTAAAAATATTATTTATTATTATTAAAGTAACCAAACAAATATATTCCCAAATCATATAATTAAAATGTCCAGCAAATCCATCCACTTCCAAACAAAGTTCTTTTTTAATAGTTCCCTAAGAATCTGTCATCATCTAATTACAGAATTCAACTTTTCATTACTTTTCCACCAGTTTCTGGCAGCAAAGGGCTAAATGGGGTTACATTGAAATAAAAGGTAAATGGCAGAAGGCCAAAAACAATTCAAAAGTATGGCAAAAAGAAAAGCTCAAAGGGCCAAAAAAGAGCGTACTCTGCCATACCCATTATGACAATTTAATCGACCGGAAATAAAGTTCTTAAGCATCATAAACAAGATTTAATGTGACAAAAAGGCAAATCACAGTGGCGACGAACGAAACGCGAAACGCATTTTGGGTGGTGGCAGAAATGTCAAATGGTGTTCGCCTCGGGGGCGACAGAAAACACTCCGTATAACCCAATTTCGGGGCCCCATCCCATCGCAAAAAAAAAAGGTATCACGAAATATCGCGGTCTAGTTACAACTTCAAGCGTTTCCCTTTGGATTATGAAACCGTAAAAAAGTCGCCCTAATCTTCATTGACTGGATTCCCTTACACAGGTACACTCGCATATATGGTATGTATATATATACGTTTACTTAAGCGTGGCTGTGTGGGAGTATGTATATTTGCCAAATACTTAACACATTCACCGAACCCCTTGGTTCTTTGTCAAATATATATAAGTACATCAAATAAAAAAGGGCATATCAGTTCGAATTAGCCTGTAATGATATGATTGCGAGGGTACAACAAGTAGGGGGCTTTTTGTTGAAATATCTCAGTACTTATCACAAAAACTGAATTTCTTTTTTGCTTTTTAGGGAATGTTAAATATTTTTTTTTAAATTCCATTTAACAGCTATGCATATGAGTCATTTAGGATCCACTAATAATTTTTTTTTTATTTTTTACTTTATTTTCTCACACCAGAACTTTTATTTATGGAACAAATATACAATCAAAAATAGATAATTAAAAATAAAAATTTAAGAAAATAAATTGGTGTCATCGATGTTAAATTTAAATTACAGTTTTTCTTTAATAAGTTTATTCAGATTTTTATTTCTTTCTTATTTTAAAATTTCTTAATTCTTTTCTCTGGTGTCAAATATTTTTCGATAATATCGATAATATTAATGGTGGTCACTATCGATAGCCACAACTATCGATGATGCCCACAAGCAACTCTATTAATAAAAAATAAAAATATATCTCTTTTATAGCCATAATAGGGTTGTTTAATCAAAATATATTTTTAATAAGATCTTCCTCTCGCTGTTAAATCTGATAGAAGACTTTAAACGTCGGAAATGCTAGAATTTAACAATTCTAACCAAGAAAACAGGTTCGATAACTTCAATAACGAGTCAAGAGGTACAGGCAAAATCCATTCGATCCACCATTTCTCACACCGAGTTCCCCAAGTGTTTTGTGGTCGACACCTTTCCGGCTCATCCCAAATATTTGCGCTGGCAGTGTCAATAAAGCGGAGAAGAAAACAAGGGGCACGACAGCACGGGAAAACTGCGGAAAATGTGGAAACTGTGGCAAGATGAATGCCTTGGATGGCCGACACGCTGGGGCGTTTGGCAATTAGTGCGGCTCCGCTTCCATTGGAATTTAAACCCGAAATTACACGGCTGCCTCCGACTTTTTCGACCGAGATATCAGCCGGCAATTAATCAACGGCAATCAAACCGACGACTGCGAAAATTACGCAATGTCTCGTCGCAGCGACAAGTAGCTATCTAAGTAGTGTCATCAATAAAAGTCCCACCCAGTTGGGCACTCCATCAAAACAAAAAAAAAAACACTATCAACAGTAGCTGAAAAGCGAGAAATAAACAAAAAACAATGGGAAAACAATGGGTCGTCCCCCCAATGTTCAAATGTTCCGATATCGAAGGCAAAATACGGGGCAAAAATCAGCAAATAAGACATTAGAGCAAAGGAAAAGTGCAGGCTGTCAGTCGGCTTATCGCAAATGCAATCAAATCAAATCGAAATTGAGCAAAATATAAAACTTAAGGCGGAGAGGTCTTATCGGTGATAAATCAATCAAATCAAAGTCAATGATGGCAAATAATAATTAAGCTCAAGTTGACTTAACGACCTGGGAAAATAAAAACAGCTGGCACGTTTAATGTAAATATTTAAAGTTTTATTTTTTATAAATATATATTAAGAATATTTTCTGAAATAAAATGTTGATATATGTATAAAAAGAATATTAGAAATTCTGATATAAATAAATCTAAGCTTTTAATAAAATTTAATTAAAAACGTAGTTCTAAATGTAATTCTTAAGATTTGAATTTGTATAATAATTTAGGGGATTCAACAATTATTATAGGTATAGCTTAACTTTAAATTAAATTTTGCCTTGAAACCTAAGAAAATATATTATAAAATAAATTTACTCTGCTGGAAAATCTCAAAACTTGAAATACAAAAATCTTCTCCTACTTAAATCTTAAAGGCATTTAGGCAATTGGCACATTTGACACTCAAACTAAAATGCCAGATTAGTTTCCATTTATTTGAAAATTGAGCCTAGTTGTACAATCAATAAAATCGCCAGAGATAAACATGTTACACGGATTGAAATATATACAATATTTATCAAAGAGCGTGTCAATTAAGTGCTTGGTCGCACGGCAGAGGCAAATACAAATTGCCGGAGCATAATTAGAGATTGTAAATTAAATTGTTGGCCATGCCGGACAATTAACAAGTCAGTTGACTGATGTTGATTTAGCGCAAATCGTTTGGGGTGTAAAAATATAGCCCCCATCCCCTCCCCCATTTTTCTCTAATCGATGGCAATTAGAAGGGGCTGACTTAAATCGCTTATTTGCATATGATTGATAGGCATCAATATGTGAAAGGGGTGGTGTTGAAAAGGGGGCGGAAAATAAACCCATGGAGCTGAAAAAATGAAGACATTTACATGACAACATTTGTTGCTCGTCACTGTCCCATTTGTCAGTGTGTGTGTGTGTGTGAGTATCTGTGTATTTGCATTTGTACCGCTGACAGTGCCTAAGCGGCCATTTTATCATGTCTTCCTTTCAACACACTCATACACTCACACCCACATCCTCACATATGTGGCAGTTTGATATGACAAATGATTGGTGACACATCGTGT